AAGCATTCATTGTCTTACCTGCCTTCCTCCTGCCTTCGAAGCTCTCTGATTGAGCCTTTTCTGCTCTCAGCTATTTGGGACCAAGATATATAGTTGATATTGTTTTCTTTTCTTTCCTTCTATTTAAATCCTTAGAGGAAAGTACACAAAACAAAAAAATACAATGATTTATCATACATTCTTATATAACTACTATGTAGGACAAAATGTAAAACATTGCCAAATTTCCAGATGGATCTTCCTGTAATTCCTTCCATTCACCTGCAGAATGAACCGCTGTCCTGATGCTCAGGCCAATTACCTTCTAGCTTTTTAAAAATTTATTTAGAGATGGAGTCTCACTCTGTTACCCAGGCTGGAGTGCAGTGGTGTGATATCAGCTCACTGCAGCCTCCACCTCCGGGGCTCAAGCGATTCTCGTGCCTCAGACTCCTAAGTAGCTTGGATTACAAGTGCCCACCACCATGCCTGGCTAATTTTTGTATTATTTGTAGAGGCATGGTTTTGTCATGTTGTCCAGGCTGGTCTCAGACTCCTGACCTCAGGTGATCCGCCTACCTTGGCCTCCCAAAGTGCTGGGATTACAGGTGTGAGCTACCATGCCTGGCCACCTTCTAGCTTTTAAAAATAATTTTATCACTAAGTGTGTTTAGTTTTGTCCATTTTTGAATTTTGCATGAATGAATTTAATGATTTTTCATTATGAGTGAATTTTGCAAATAATTCTTCACTCAACATACTATTAGATTGATCTATGATACTGCTTGTAGCAGCAATTCATTTATTTTCATTGTTATATAGTATTTCATTGTATGAATATACTATAGTTTGTTTATTCTATATTTGGACATTTTTTCTAGTTTGGGGCTATTATAAAAAGTGTTGTTATGAACACCCTAATACACGTAAGCATGCATTTCTGTAAAACACACCCAAGGGTAGAATTGCTAGGTCATAGAGAAAGCAATCTTGAACTTTCATATGCAATGCCAAACTTTTCAAAGTGGTTCTACCAATTGTTTCCACCAGTGGTGTGTGAGAGTTTCCACTGACCATGTCCAGTTAGTGATTCTGGTAGGTGTATAATGATATTTCATTGTGGTTTTAGGATTTTTTTTTTTTTTGGCTGAGAAAAATTCAGTAAGAGTTTTCTGAAAATATGAAGGTGAAGCCTTTGGGATTTTTCCTTTTTTTTTTTTTTTTTTTTTTTTTTTTTTTTTTTTTTTTTTTTTTTTTTTTTTTTTTAGAGTTAGGTGCCATTCTGTCACCTAGGCTGGAGTGTAGTGGCGCGATCATGGCTCACTGCAGCCTTGAACTCATGAGTTTAAGCGATTCTCCCACATCAGCCTCCCAAGAAGCTGGAACTTTAGGTTTGCACCACCACACTCTGCTAACTTTTTAAATTTTTTGTAAAGCTGGAGTCTCTCTGTTGCCCAGGCTGATCTTGAACTCCGGGGGTTCAAGAGATCCTCCCGCCTCAGCCTCCAAAAGTGTTGATACTATAGACATGAGCCATTGCCTCTGGCTGCCCTTGGTTTTCAGCTTTCCATGCTGTCACTGTCTTTCAATACCACAGTCATGTTGATATACTTTTTGTTTTGTTTTGTTTTGTTTTGTTTTGTCACCCAGGCCGGAATACAGTGGTACAATCTTGGCTCACTGCAGCCCCTGCCTCCCAGGCTCAAGCATTCCTTCCACCTTCCCTCCCAAGTAGCTCAGACTACAGATATGTGCCACTGTGCCAGCTAACTTTTTGTAAAGACAGGGTTTTGCCATATTTCCCAGGCTGACTTTGAACTAGGCTTAAGAGATTCGCGTGCTTCAGCCTCCCAAAGTGCTGGACTTACAGGTGTGAACTGCTGTGCCCAGCCAAGAGTTGATGATACTTTTAAGAAAGTATTTTAAACTTGAATTGGATGTATGAAAGCAGTTAGTTTGGGATATTGCCCAAGATTCTTTCTTTATACTTTTTATTATCATATCTAAAAAACAGATGTATTATTTATCTTTATAATTATTTAGCTGCCATTCCAGGAATCATAGCAATTACTGAGATAAGAGGTATAGTCTGTGGTTTACGGACTTGAATTTAGTGAGTAAATCTTTCTAGTTCCTCTGGAATTGAGCCTTTTTTTGTTGTTAGATTTTTTTTTAAAAAATAAAGTCCAACCATGGTAACTGATCTGGATGACATCGAATGGCTGGTTACTGTTGAAAAACAGACTTTTAACAGCTCATGGGTAATGTCTGAAAGGTAAAGTGACACTAGATTAATATCTATATTCTACTCTGAAAATAGCAAAAGCCATATGGAACCAAGAGTTAATTGACTTGTAAATTTAATCCCATTCTCGGTTGACACAGTGGCTCATGCCTGTAATCCCAGCACTTTGGAAGGCCAAGGCCAGCAGATCACCTGAGGTCAGGAGTTTGAGACCAGCCTGACCAACATGGAGAAACCCTGTCTCTACTAAAAACACAAAATTAGCCAGGTATGGTGATGCATGCCTGTAATCCCAGCTACTCGGGAGGCTGAGGCAGGAGAATCCCTTGAACCAGGGAGGTGGAGGTTGCGGTGAGCTGAGACCATGCCATTGCACTCCAGCTTGGGCAGCAGGAGTGAAACTCTGTCTCCAAAAAAAAAAATTTAATCCCAGTCCAATAATGCCGTGACGTAATGAAAATTGTAACTGTGATTTCTTTTTGTGCAAGTAATACTCAGAATGGAAAATAATGAAGATAATGCTTTGAAGGTTGTACACGAGGATTAAATTTTGTATAAAATTTCATTGTGTGTGTTGGTGTTTAAAAAATCTTAATATGCACCGAAAAGAGAATTATGGAAGTTTTTCTGGATAATTGAGTGTCCAGAAATACTAGTTTGATAGCAATTTATAAGTGTGAAACAATTATGTTGTTTTATTCCCTAGTTTAAAGGAAAAATGTATATTTCTAAAATATTTTTATAATAGAATAATTTAACCTTAGATTTTGTCACATTAATAGTCATTTAGTAATAGAAAAGTTTTTTAAGATGAAAAGTTTTAGGTGCTTTAAAAGGATTGATGTAAGCGTTATCTGAAAACAATTATAATTTAAACTTGGAAGGTAAATACTTAAAACGTAAAGTCTGATCTCATCAAACATAAAGTAGGAAAAAAATATGTGTATGGTTATTTTTGTTACTTAATAAGAGTGAACCTTGTACTAATTGTGGTTTATTCTCTCTTCTGCTTGTTGTAGAGCTTGGAATATAATGGCTGTACAACTTTTGATTTTAACATTTTATTGAAACTAAATTGATGCTTTGAATAAAAGAAACCTCGACACTTCCTGTGTAGAGTCACAAGTTGTATTTTCTGATACTGACAGGTTTTAAACAGAATTTGAAAGATTTCTAGTAAAGGCAATAAATTTTATTTTTGGAAAAATTGCAAAATGGAAATTTGGATGAATGAAAGCCAAGGAGATTTCTGGTATTTTTCTTTGTTTTTTCTTTCTTTCTTTTTTTTTTCTTTTTTGGGGTAGAGACAAGGTCTCACTCTGACATCCAGGCTGGAGTGCAGTGGTGCAGTCATAGCTCACTGCAGCCTCAAACTCCTGCAGTCAAGCAATTTTCCTGCCTCAGCCACCTGAGCATGTGCCACACACCTGGCTTTTTTTTTTTTTTTTTTTTTTTTTGAGAAGAGGTCTCACTGTGTTTCCCAGGCCGATCTCAAAACTCCTGGACTCAAATGATCCTCCTGCCTTAGCCTCCAAAAGCACTGGGATGATAACAGGCATGAGCCACCTCAGCCAGCTGGTTTCATTTTAAAGAAGATAGTGTCTGTCAAATTTAACAGATTGAGAATCAAAATAAGAAAAATCTATATATATTTTATTTTTTGGTCTTTTCATACTTGAAATTTATCACTTGAAGATAAATTTTGAAGTTGATCACTTGTTTTCTCCATTATAGTCACATATGTAAACAGTAAATTGTTTGAAAATTTAATGTTAACAATTAGATTCCTGATAATAGTATACGAGGATATTCATACTGGCATTCCGAATGACAAGTATTGCTAACAGCCCGTCTTGGTTCATTTCCAAAGAATGTGAACTTTTTCAACCTTTTAAAACTTGGCGGTCACTCGTATTTGACCCTCAGGTAAGCAGAGCAAACATCAGGGACCCAGATCTTATCGTTTTTGGCCATTCAGTTTTTGAAGTAGGCCTCGTTAAAGCCTGAAAAAGTCACAGATATCTTCTTGGATTGTTTTCTGTTGTTGTTTTTGAGATGGAGTCTTGATCTGTTCCCTGACTGGAGTGCAGTTGTGTGATCTTGGCTCACTGCAACCTCCACCTCCTGGGTTCAAGCAATTCTTGTGCCTTAGCCTCCTAAGTAGCTGGGACTACAGGTATGCACTTGGCTAATTTTTGTATTTTTTCAGTAGAGACGGGGTTTTGCCGTGTTGGCCAGGCTGGTCTCAAACTCCTGACCTCAGGTGATCTGCCCACCTCCGCCACCCAGAATGCTGATAATTACAGGTGTGAGCCACCACGCCCAGCCTTGAATTGTTTAATTGATCAGCTTATCACAAGTGACAGGCCACACATTTATGTTAATAATTTAGTTAATTTAAATGAACCTACAAGTTCTTCTAATTTGGGCAAGACCACTTACAAATAAATTGCTGTGTTTCAAATTAGCTGTGATAGGTGCTGATTTTACCATGTAAGTAGATAATTCAACTCTGGTTATTATTAACTGAAAAGCCCTTTTAATCAAAAATTAAGCTTAATTCCTTTTTAAATTAAAAATGAATATTTGCTTTATAATACTCTCTACTTGGCAGAGTTTCAGATTCAGGTAAACAATGGATACTAACTGTTTTCGTTTTAGACACTAGTAGTCTGAATAAAGACTCAGGGAAAAAATCAAAATCAAGCCATGGGATGTGAAATACTGCAATGACATGGAATATCACTTTCTGAACTTTTCATCTTTTACTTTTAAGATAGAGATACAGATACCACCATGAAGGGGAATGTGGATGACTTTGGCCTACGAGACACCTTGAGCATCGCATCCACGGATTCCTTTGCTTCAGCAGCAGAGGTAGGACATGTGTTTTCCTAATGAGTATTTCTGTTTCTTTTTTGCTGGAAAGATCAGTCTTGTCATTATACTGTAATTCCGTTCAGTCACTATTTAGCATCTGTCATGTGGTAGGTACCAGGATATAAAAATGAATAAATCTAACATGAAAATAAGCTCCTACAGGAGCTTACCATCTTCTTAAGGAGATGGACCTGTAAACACATGGTTTAGATGGGCATTTTCATATACTGTAGATTACAGGAGAGGCATATAAATTAGTATGTTAATGGAAAGAAATGTTTCAGCTTATATCAAGAGTTTTAAAGATGTTCAGTTTCTTTAGTTCAGAAATCATACTTCTAGATTTTTGTTCTAAGAAAATGATCAAAGATTTTATATATATAAATCTTGACTGTTGGCCAGGTGCAGTGGCTCATGCCTGTAGTCCCAATACTACAGGCTGAGGTGGAAGGATTGCTTGAGCTCAGGAGTTTGAGACCAGCCTGGGCAACATAGTGAGACCTTGTCTCTACAAAAAATTTAAAAAATTAACCAGATGTGATGGTGAGTAGCGTATAGTTCTGGTTCAGGAAGCTGAGTTGGAAGGATCCCTTAAGCCCAAGAGGTTGAGACTGCAGTGGGCCATGATTGTGCCACTGCACTCCAGACTGGGTGACAGAGCAAGATCCTGTCTCAAAAAAAATAATTAAAAATACACACACACACACACACACACACACACACACACACAAATTCACTGTGGCATTTTAGTAACAATGAAAAACTGAAAAAACAATCTAATGCCAAATTATGCTATGCTTGTAATTAGAAATACAGAGCTATAAACATGGTTCCAATAATTTTAATGACATGAGGGAACATAAGTGAAAAGAGTAGTATGTAAAGTTTTATACAGATTGTATGATTATAATTTTGTAAAAAGGAAACAAAAACGTGCACGATATAGAAGAATATAGGCAAAGGAAAAAAGGCTAACTATAAACAAACAGTAGTGATAACTGAATTATAAATCTGTGGGTAATTTGTTTTTCACTGAGATTTAAATTTTGTACCAAAAGAGACTGCTTGAAAAGAGGTCATCTTTTGTTTTTATTTTTATATTAAAACAGCTTTAAAAATTACATGTGGCCAATTTTATCTCAGATTTGCATTTTTACAGTAGATTTTGGATATTAAAATTTTAGGTGCTCTTTTTTTTTATATAAATAGTATTATGCATCTAGCTGGGCATGGTGACTTATGCCTGTTATCCCAGAACTTTGCGAGGCCGAGGGAGGCAGATCACCTGAGGTCAGGAGGTTGAGACCAGCCTGGTCAACCTGGTGAAATCCCGTTTCTACTAAAAATTCAAAAATTAGCAGTGTTATGGTGGTGCATGCCTGTAATCACAGTTACTCAGGAGGCTGAGGCACAAGAATCTCTTGAACCTGGGAGGTGGAGGTTGCAGTGTGCCAAGATCATACCACTGCACTCCAGCCTGGGCAACAGAGTGAGACTCTGTCTCACACAGACGTGCGCAAGAATAGTATTACACATCTGTAACTGATGTGTGAATTTTATCTCTAGGGCGGAAGCTTTAGATACTCCAATACCTGTACCTTAAACCTTGATTCTGCCTTTTTAAAAGCAGTACTGATTCATGTATTTCATCCTCCCAAGGTTTTTCTGTATGTGTATATTTCTGCCATCACTTACAGTATCATCTTCTAATTGTTTACATTGAAAAAAATATTTTTCTACCTATAAGTTTTCAGTAGACAGAATATATCTACTTGTTCAACAGGAAAGCTGTTTCCTCTTCCTTTTACTATTTGTTATATACATGTTTATTTTTCTGTTCTGTAGATGCTACGTCCTAGATGTTTTGTAAGGAGAAAAATTGCTATACACTTTGCACTTTTTTCCATTGTTAGGAACAGTGTACCTAATTGCTCTAAAGTG